TGAACAGAGAGACAGAGATGTCACAGGATCTTCCTAGGAAGCTGTGAGAAAGCTCAGAGAAAGAATAAAACAATTCAGAAAAAGAATTAAAACAATTCTTATCTCAATCCCTGCACCTGGCAGGCAACCTCTGTTTGTCAAAGATGTTTACAAGTAGGAGTTGTCCCTTCTTGACCAATAGGTGAGAGAAAATTCCTGAAGGCCAATCAGGTCTTAGAGCCATCATTGTTTCTGTAAGAACTGTGGATTTCTAATAATAAATATATAATAATAAAGTGATTTTTAAATGCTTTCTGATGATGGAGTCTCTGTACCACCTTTGTCCCCAATGTCCCATCTGCTCCCTGGCAATTGCTGCAGAACATTCCTCCCCAAATCTCACCCACCACGTGCTCAGGACAGGCTTCCAGAGCTGCCTCCCCACAGGGGCTGTTTGTGCACACATGGAAAGGGAGCTGAGGCTCCAAAAACAAACACAGCAGGCACAGAACACCCTGAGGGATCCCAGGCATGCAAACTGAAGGAAATTATTTAATGGCAGAGGAACACAGCAGTGTGGATCTCAGCCAGCCCTTCTGCAGGAGTGCACTAGAGATAAATCCCTGTGGCACCTGAGCTCCACATTCAGCAGAGACACACAGGACACGAGGAAAAAGGAAAAAGGAGCCACATCTGCCTCTCCAGAGAGGAGCTGCTGCTTGACACAGGATTTAAGAGCTGGGGAAGAGTGCATCCTCCTCCCAGGAGTGCTCTCTTGCTCCACAGCACAAGTGAAAACCTGCCTGGTGCTCTGTTTGCCAATGCCTGACCTAAATTTGCCATCCAAGAGACTGGAGGGCAGTGGTGCCCAGCCTGTGGAGTTTCAAAAGGCAGAAAGAAATGGGTGAGTTTTCATCTTCAAGTGAAAATCACTCCATGTTGGGATCAGCAGAGAAGGAATGCTAAAGGAACACTCTGGCTTCTCCTAGCCAAGCAGAGCCTGCACAAACAGGAGCTGTGCTCTTTGAGACTTCCCACACGTGGAATCCAGGGGATACAGCACACATCCTCCAGAAAATCCAGCAAGGAACGCAGGGGAAACCACCAGGGAGAACTGGGGTGGCTGCACAGAGCCAGCACCTGCAGGCCAGCATGGTTTCAATACAGACATCTCATGTGTGGAATCCTCAGCTGTAGCCATGATATTTTCTGAAAAATCCTTTCC